GGTAGGGCACCTGGGACCTGGAGGCTGATCTCTCAGCCCTTCCCGATCCTCCTTTCTCTCTTGGACCAAGAGAAAAGCACTTGGGATTGTGCTTACAAAAGCAGTAGCTCTCTCAAGGAAAAACTCCGCTCCACATTAGTATTGTTATGGAGTTCTTGGGGCAGGCCAGCGTGAGGGCCCTGAGCGAGACTAGAAACCTCTGCCTCCTGACATGCACGCCAGCCGGTGACTGACCGTCTCCTCTCTCTTGTCAGGAATGTCTTTACATTAGAAGACGAAGAAAATCAAATCCAGCCTGTGTCCCACAATCAGAACCCTCCGTGTGGCGCAGGGGCCTTCACCGCCACCGGGGCGGCCTGCCCGCCAGCCAACGAGAGACGCGGCCTGGCCAGGCTGTTCCAAGGAGTCCCTGTGGGGGAGCGCGAGGGGAAATCGGCGTGCTTTTAAAAAGATGGCTGCGGCTTGCCCGGCATGGTGGGAGGGAAGCTGGTTTCCTAGTGACCTTGTTTCTAAAAGGAAAAACAGTTTTTTGGTTTTGTTTTTTTTTTTAAGGAAATAAAAAGGGATTAAAAAGAAAACTAAATTGAAACCAGAACTGAAACGGTTGCCTGCTAGCAGATGACACACGCACGTCCACACGCACAGCTGCCCACGCCTTCCGTGCGACACCACCTTAACTTCAGGAACACAGGGAGGTCAGGTTGGGGAATGGCACGGTTGGGAGGGAGCCAGTCACAGACCCTCCTTCTGGCGCACTCTGGCTCCGCCCCCTGGGCCCCAGAGCTCCTCCTCGGGCCCTCATCCTGACTCCACAGCCCCTCACTTCAGCCCAGCCTTGGAGACCAGCCAAAATGGGGGTGGGCAGGTGGGCTACAAGGGCATAGTCTGTTTTGGTTTTTTTTAAGGGTCTTGTTTTTTCTGGGGTTTTTTGCCCCCCACAAATGAGAGAGAGAGAAACAAAGGGTGGCCATGAAGAGCCGGGTTTTACTGAGCGGCCTGACTTTTCCTTAGGAAACGGTTCTTGGACTCCAGGGGGTGGGTGGGAGGGAAGGCTGGAGCAGACTGACCGCTCGCAGGAGGCGTGCAGCCCCGCACAGGCATTGGGCGTGAGGCCTCTGTTCTGACGGGGTCGTAGCCATCTCAACAAATCAACAGCAACAAAAGGGGGGAGGGGGGACCAATAAATTTTTAAAATTTAATCGGTGTTTCTGTGATTTTACTTCCGCTCACTGCCTCATAGCTCTGAAGCTGTCCGGCTAGACCCGCTCCGTCGGTCGTCCTGAGGTCTCCTCGTTCACATCTTGTGCTGTTCGTTTCAGCTACGTGGCTGGTCCCGGGCCTAAGCCCGCCAGAGCCTTCGTCATTAGAAAGTGGCGCCTTTTGTCTTTTGTTTCGTAGTTGGCCTGAAAAGAACTGGTGCCTTTTATCCCAGAGAGCGAGTGTGGGTCGCTCGTAGATAGGAAGCAGGTCCCTGCCTTATTCCCGCTGCGGTGGCCACCCACGCAGGCTGCTCCTAACATACAGAGGGACGCGTGTTTCAGATGAGACATGCCCACGGAAGCATGGGCACACACAGGAGCACACTGGTGCCACGTCACCTCTGACTCACGGTGACCCCACAGGACGGAGGACAACTGCCCCTTTGGGTTTTAAAGGCAGCCTTCGCTGGACAGAAAACTCATCTTTCTCTTGAGGACTGGCTGGCCCCACGGGTAACCCGCTACGCCAGTGGGTAGTGGACCTGTGTGGTCCATCCCCCCACCCCAAACAACTGCTGGTCTGCTCTCTGTCACTAGCTTAGGTGACCTTTGGTGGCGTTTTCTGTTAGTGGGCTGTACAGTGGGTTGAACGATTGGACTTGGAGCCCATCGTGCACCCTGCGGCGCCCCATATAGTACACCCCATCCTGTACACCCGGGCCTGGTGCCAACCCTGTGCCACCCTGTCCTCGCCACGTGGGTTTAACGTTTTCCTTCTGGGGGTGAACCGAAAGCTGCAAAATCTTATTTGGGATCCGTGGGACAAACGTTCCCACACAGTGCCGGGAGCTCGGGAGTGTCCCCAGAGGGCCTGAAACCTGTGAGGGTGTTGGGGGGAGTCTGCCGACCCAGCAGCACTCCCTGTCTGGAGAACAGGAGACCGGACGGCCCGGTCAGGCCCAGGCCCTTTGCTAGTTGGCGTGGCTGTGTGGCAGTGGGTTTCTGTCCCAGACGGCTTCCTGAGGAGCAGCGTGTGGGAGCATGTCTGTGACTCCGTGCACACGGCTACAGCGTTGAGAACTCAGGGAAGGGGTGGGCAGCTCTGTTCTCTGGGTGCCTGTTTGGAAAAGCACCTCTGGCGCATTCTGATGACTGGGGACAGAGTAAAGATTCCCGCCTGCACCTTACTTTAAACGTGAGCTCTGTGGAAACGTGTGTTCTGCATGGAGTTGTCTAGTGGAGGAAGAGCATCTTTTCTGCCTGCAGATAACTGAGCATCCACCTGAATGCTTCAAATCATAAGCCTCCCCGGAAGTTGTCCCCTTGTTTCCATATTGGATTAGTCAAGAAACTGGTCAGAGTGGAGACCCAAAGCCCATCTGTAGACCATTGGACATCCCTCACAGAGGGATCACAAGAAAGGGACGAACTAGCCAGGTTGCAGTGCAGCGCTGGTGAAGCAACATTCTAGTTCTTTTAATGCTTCTGCCCCCCGCTATCATGACCCAAGTTCTACTTTACAAATCCGGCTAGACCAGAGCATGTACACTGGTACTGAAAAGAGCTCTCGACACATGGGATCCAGGACAGAAAACCCTCAGGAACCATAATGGGAGTACTGATACCATGAGGGTGGAGGGGAAAAAGGGGAGCCGATTGCAAGGATTGACATATAACCCCCTTCACCCAGGGTAATGATTAACAGACAGGTGAAGGGAGACAGCAGACAGTGTAAGATTTGAAAATATAATTTACCAAGGGTCCGGCGGGAGCACGTGGTAGCTAATACCAAGGGCTCAGGTGGAAAGAATGTTTTGAAAAGGATGATGACAACGTGTACAAATGTGCTTGACTCAATGGATGTATGGATTGTTATAAGAGCTGCCAATAAAATGATTCAAGTCGGACTCAAGGATGAAGTTGGGAAGGAGAGGAGAGAAACTCCCTAGAGATCTGTGTCAGTCTTCTGTGGCTTCCCGACTTTGAACGCGCCAGCACAGCCCTGTGGGGCCTGTTCACTACAACCCTGCCTATAACGATGGGAACAATCCAAGCGTCCATCAACAACCACAGGTCATTAAGCCAAACATCTAGATCTAATCAAGCCTCTAGAAGCCGGTCTAGATCTCAGTACCGGTTTACAGGGAAGCCAGTACGGGAGACAAGACAATGTGCAGTCCGCGACATCTAGACAAACAATCCAGAACTGGCGTCTTCAATAAGGAAACTGCAAATTCAAGCAAAAAATTTCCACTATTGTAGGGCCCTTGTTTGGCTCTTCATGCTTAAGGAAGTTTTTCCAATTGACTTTGTATTTTTAAACACTATGGTTAAGAATCAGGAATTCCACATTAGGTGTGATAATACATGCTGAAGTGGTTACATGTGAAATGTCATGTCTGGGATTTGCTTTTGGATCATCTCTGGGTGGGGGGGTCGGTGGGGGGCACTCGGACTGGGGGCTGATCATGGTGGTCATTGTTGACGGCGACGTGTAGAAGCTTCCTGCCATCCCTCCCCTTGTGAAAGCTGAAACTCCACAGTCAAAGCTAAACAAATGCAGGCCAGAGTCAACGCAGAAGACTTGTTCTCCCTCCTGCATTGGTGCGGGGGCTCAAACTCTAAGCCACAACTATTGGTCTCTTGGTACCCGGAGAAGAGAAAGTGATGAAAATCCAAGGGCATGCGGGAAGAATTAGTCCAATGGACTACGGAAACATCAGGCGTCCTGCCGTGACCAACTGCTCTGAAAGGATCATGGTAGAAGGTCCTGGGGAGAGGGGAAAAAACGTAGGACAGAACTCGGCAGTTTTTTTCAAAAGCCAGGTTTATTAGATAGAGACTGGTGGGCCCCTCAGCCCACAGCCTTTAATCACCCTTAAGGTCTGGAACTGAGCTCAGCCCAGGTAGAATAATCAACCATTTAAGATCAAAAGGCTTGGCCCCAGGATGGAAGGGTTAGGGCAGGAAGAGCGATGGCAACAGCAGACACGAGGAAGCTGTGTGACAGTACATTGAAGGGACAGAACGGAGAAGTTGGAATGCATTTGAAACTATGAACATGACTGAGTGCAAAGCTGAGAAAGCGCTCTAAACCGTCACCTAAGTGAAGTACAGCGTTTTTGTTTTTTAAGGGGTAGTCCTGGATGGAGCGGGTGAAAGTATGAAACAACACCCAACCATAAAAAAGACCAGGCTTACTGGTTGGAGAGAGACGGCTGGGACCCCCCAAGACTGGCCCTGAGTCCCCTTCCGGAACCGACCCGACACCTGTGGCTCCACTTTCAGCCCAGCCCTAGGTTCATAAAGGAACAATAATGCCATAGGTCACCCATCTGAGCAACAGGGCCGCGTTTACTGGACAGGGGCCAAGTCCAGAAGGCTTAGGGGAGAAGGAGTGGATATAGGAATCGGAATAAACAGTTGCAATAGAAGAGATGAAACAGACTATGCATTGTTGGATGGAAAATGGATTTGCCCTGTGACCCATCACCCCATTCACAATAAAACGTGAACACACCACCAGCCTGCACGTAGCCCCCTACGTGAACCTCTGTGAGGACCGTCAGACTGCTGATTCCCACAGGCCGCTGGAAGACCAGCCCTGCTCTGTTCTTCAGGTGGACAAGTCAGGATTCATGCTTGTGCTCCAGCCAGCCTTCCGGAAGCCATGGCAGTCAAGAGCGGGCTTGGGGAGGCGGCCGGTGACCTGGGATGAAGACGGGTCCAGGAGACAGGGACAACTGGGACCAGAAATAAGGTCTAGTAGAACAATTGGTAGGGGTGAGAAAAAGGGCTAGATCTGTTTTTAACATTTATTAATCCAAAAATATATCAAATATCACTTTCTACCCTGGGTTCTTGAGCGGTCAAGGAGGGGACAGCTGGCAGCCTTTTAAGATCCAGTGTGGTACCTAAGAGCTCATACCTGTCTCAGGAAGCTGTAAGATGAAGTGAGGCTCAAACTAAGGAACCCCCAAATCAGGCCCATGCCTTACAGAGAACCCACTGAAGGCAGCGACCAGACTCACAGCACTCCTTGGCTCAAGCAGCTGCAGGAAATGGGGCAGCCACCCTGGGATGGCCAGTGCCCCTCCAGCCCCTTGTTGCTAGGAATTCATCTCTTAATGAGCCTAGGAAAGGCAGGCCCAGGGAAGACTGACCCCTGGAGACAAAGCCAGGCTCCAGGAGGGAGTGTCTCAGGATCCTGCCTTGCTTCAAACAACCCCATGGCTCAAATCCACTTCCAGGGGACCCAGACCTGAGGTCCTGCTGTCAGCCAGATGCTCACTGACTCAGCCCTCCGCCACCAGGCATGGTCCACAACCACACTACTGCATGGCAACTGGGTGCATGGGCCAGGGTCCCTGGTCAGCACCAAGGTTTGGCCCAGGAGGGGCCTGGGCCATGGGCTGCACACGCTGCTGGGCCTGCCAGAGGTGGTGGAGCTCCTTAAACTGTTCCACCATGCGGTCTTTGAGGTCTGGGTTTGAGATCTGCAGCCGGATACTGTCAGCAGACCAGGAAAGCTCCCCGGAGAACATCTCCAGCAGCAGCCGGGCCGCCACGGGCACCACCTGTGGGTGGGGAGAGCAGACAGGAAGGGCTAGGTGGAGCTGCCCGAGCCAGCTGGGCACCAGTGGGCAGGGGTGTCCACTGAGGGATGGGAGGACTGAGAGTGCACCACCTAAACCCTGAAACAAAAAGCCAACGTCTAGCGCTACTCTTAAGGTGTCCCGGTGGTGCTGTGGGTTAGATGGTGAGCTTCTCACTCCAAGGTCAGTGGTTCAAGCCCACCAGCTGCTCAAAGGGAGAAAGACGAGGCTGTCTGCTCCCATAAAAGACTTAGTCTCTGAAACCCAGGAATCTGTCGGGTCCCCCTGAGTGAGTCTGAGTCAACCCAGTGGTAGCGAGTGTGGTTTATGGCGACTCCCTGCGGGTCGTCAGAGTAGGCCTGTGCCGCCCCCCCCGGGCTTCACGGGCTGTGACCTTTCCAAAAGTAGACAGGCCTCCTCCTGAGGCCTTCAGACGGGTGGACTCAGCCCCTCCAACCTTTGAGTTAGCAGCTGAGCCGAACCCTCTGACCATTCCCTGCACCCAGGGCCCCCACCAGGAAGGAGTGGCACAAAGGCCGCTCGGGAGTACTCCCGGGTCCCCCATATGCAAGCCGGGGTGTCCGTGGACCTGGACAGTGATGAGCTTCTTTTCTCGGGGTTTGCGGTCGGGCCACTCCTCCCCGAAGCAGAAGAAGATCTCAAAGGGCGGTGGGGTGTTGGTCTGGCCCTTCTGGAACAGGATGAGCTCTGCAGCGGGGTCAGGAGAGGGTCAGAGGCTAGCCTGGGGTGGGGGGGTGTCGCTGGGGGCGGGGGGAGCCCCTCACCGTGCAGGAACTGCTCCAGACTGAAGAGCTTGGTCTTCACCTCCCGCTGGATGGGGTTGGGGCGCGTGCCGTGGGCGGGGGCGCAGGGCCCGCTCCAGAAGACCTTGCACTGGCACAGGCGCACGGCGTACAGGTCCTGGCCCTGCAGCTGCAGGAGGAGCCCGCGGTCCAGCACGTCCAGCAGCTGGTTGGTGTAGAAGCGCTGCTTATCACTGGGGATGTCCTCGGGGCTGGGGAAGCGCACCTGCTCCAGGCTCACGGGGCCGAAGAGCTCCACCTGGTCCTGCGTCGCCTCCAGCTGGCTGTAGAAGAGCCGGCAGCCGTGGGGGTTGCTGATGGTGAGGGCCCGAGGCGGCCGGCCTCGATACTGGAATCTGATCTCCAGATCTGTCACTGCGGGCAGAGGGCCAGCCAGCCGCCACACCTGAGCCCTCCGGGCCTCTGACCATCACCAGCCGCCCCCTGCCCGCCGGCACACAGTTCTCCCGCTTACACACACCCCACCCACCCGAAGGAGGGACCCCTGGAACATCTGTTCTTTCCCCTGCACGTGGCTTCACACACACACACACACACCCTGCTGGGCATCTGCCAGGCATCTCCACTTTAACAAGAGCCCAGGTGACTCCAAATCACCCAGGGACACACCCAGCTCTGGTTAAAATAAATTCAGATCCAGTCTGCCTGGGCTAGATGCCCAGCAGGGGTCAGAACGGTAGTAACTAGTTCAAACTCTGCTTCACCACCCTCCGGGGTCCGGGCAGTGCTCTCCCCGCAACCCTAGCCCCACCCGCCCAGTGTGGCCTCCTGCCCCTGGTCCTTAGGTCCTTACAAGGCAGCATGTGGGGGCTGATCAGCAGGTCGGGCAGGAACTGTTCTGGGGCCGGGGGCAGGCTGGCGGCCAGGGGTCCAGTCTCCAGGTTCAGCAGGACCTCGGGCAACAGCTCCCCAAAGCCAGCGGGGTTGCCAGGGGGAGGGGCCAGGAGGGCAGGCTCTGGGGCAGGAGGGCCTGGCTGGAGAGTGGGGGGCCACTTGAGCTCCTCTTTGGGCACCGAATAAGATCCCATAGGGGCACCAGGCTGCACTGCTTCTGCAGGGAGAGCAAACCATTCATGCCACATCTAGAACCTTCTCCCACATCACCTGTTTCCAGCCCTGGTCCTCTCCCCAGCCTCCCTTCACCCACTCCCAGTACCTCATACTAGCCCCCTTCTCTCTCCCCTGACCCCCTGCCACCCCTTCTCCCGGCCCACCTGTAAGGCTCAGGCTTGGTAGCATCCTCTGGAGCTGATGGGAAGGCGGCCGAGGAGACCGCAGGGGCAGGAGAGAAGAGGAGTCATTGGACTGCTGTGAGAAGGAAGCGGCCACAAGAGCACCAGCAGGCCCCAGCCTCCCCCGCAGCAGGGCCCGACCCCAGCCCCAGCCCCAGCCCCAGCCCCAGCCTGTCTGGGCAGCATTGAAGCACCAGTGCCCCATCCTAACTTGCCTTCTGCAGACTGGGAGGAGGATGGTTGTCATGGAAAAACCGGGCTGTCAAGGTGGTGGCTCTGTCCCTCCCATCTCTGAAAGGAGCCCCAGGCAGAAACCTCCTACCCTACCACCCAGTTGAAGCAGCTGATTCCAGCCCCTCTCGTACCTCTTCCTCTTCCTCTTCCTCCTCCTCTCCTGCCCCCACCGAGTAGTCCTCACTGGGCTGGGCTTCTGCAGAGTAAGGCAGAGAGACCCAGGCATCAGCAGGGGGAGAGGAGGGCCCAGGGAGCCATCTGGGCAGCCCGAGAGGCACCCTGCAGCTCCTGCCGGGCTGCCCCTTCCTCACCTACTGCCATTGAGAGTGACTATGGGACAGAGCAGATCAGCTCCACGGACTTTCCAAGACTGTCCATCTTCAGAGGACACGGAGAGACCCAGCCACCCCTCCTGACACCCCAGACCTTTGGACAGCCCTCGGGGCATCAAGGACAAGGGCAGCGTGAGAAGGCCAGTTGTGGTCTGAGGCCACAAAAGACCCATTTCCTGGCCACTGCCAGGAGTCCGGCAGACACGTCCCCCACTACGGCCTGGCCTCCTGGCACACTACCTGTGGGCGCGGGGCCATTAGAGCAGACCTCGTAGATCTTGTAAGGCTGGGGCGGCATGTCTCGGGGCCCGTCGTAGATGAGGCGGAAGTCGCGGCTCTTGTTCAGGGCGCAGCGCAGGTTGGCCTTCCACTTGGCAGGGTCTGCCTCGTCCACCCCCTCCGTGTACTTGCCTGTCTCCTGGGCCCAGGCCTGGCAGGAAGAGAGGCAGAGGCAACTGGCACCTCGCCCGCCCTCACGGGGCCCAGCCCAGTCAATTCAGCAACCCCTGAGCCTTGCGGACCACCCAGAGGCCCTGACGCAGGTCGGTCGGTCGGTGGATCCCCAGCTCACAGACCTCCCATGAGCCACAGGACGCAGGAGAGCTTGGCAAGCCTGTGAATCCACTGCTTCTGGCAGCGGAACAGCTGCCGGCTAAGGAGGACCACGGACCAGACCGTGGGGTGTGGGAAAGGGCCTGTGCCGGCCAAGCCCGCTGCCTGCCAAAGCCTAGTCATTTGTGTTGCCTGGCTTCGGGTTCTTCACCAGCCCACTGCAGAGGGCAGTACAGGAAGGCTGCAACAGCTCTGGTGCTGGGATTATTACTGGTACTGGGCCACGTGGTGGCGGTGGCAGGACTGCAGGCGCCTACAGGCTCCATGCCAGGCAGTCTCTCCGACAGCTACGCAAACGTCCAGCAAAACTGCGTACACAGACTCCGTTCCTCCCTGCACTGCCCTGCTGTGCTCCGAGTTTGGGAAAGGCCTGACCAAACCAAACGCCCTGCTGGCAAGTCCATTCCGATTCACAGCGACCCTACAGGGCAAAGCAGAACGGCCTCTGGGGGCTCCTAAGACTAACTCTTTTTGCCACACTATTTAATTAGGGCCTAATCCACACATCGGACCATCCCATAGTTCAGTCGCATCGAGCAGTGTCGCACAATCGCTGCCGCAATCGCTCTCGAAACATTTTCCTCCTCCTTGTACTCCTTGATATCAGCTCCCCTTTACCCACCCACCCACCCACTACCCCCAGGCACCCACTACCCCCAGGCACCGACATGCTAGTTGTTGTCTCTATAAATTCACCATCCTGGGTTCCACAGACCCAAACCCAGAAAAATACATAACAGAGCGTCCAGAAGGCTACCCACAATGACTAAATACAACAGGCACGTCGGGGTGGGGAAAAACCCAAAACACAGAAACAGAAAATATTAAAAACCAGATCAAATACAAAGTATATCGAAAGGGAGATCAAATGACCAGGTTTTAAGCATTCAAGTCAGATTTATCACTTTAATCTATTATAGTTGTACAATCATCTCTAGCCAGGTAATGCTCACCCCTCAATTATGGTTATCAAGTGGTTATGAGTTGGGCTGCGAGCCACATGGTTGGCAGTTCAAAACCACCAACAGCTCCTCTGGAGAAAGACTGAGGAGAGTGTTTGATTTTCTTTTTCTTTTTGGAATTATGGTGACAGGAAGATCACTGGAGGCTGTGGATCTGGTAGATCCTGCAAATGTACTTTTGGCTTCCATTGTCATCCCCAGCCTTCTGCGTACCAGACTCTCAAGTTTAAGTTCTAATGTTCCCGCCTTCGGATTTAGATTACTTCATTTACAATCCTTGGATCACAGATGCTGGTGGGATTTTTCCCTGTAGGCTTAGTTGATGTCTGACTTAGATGACTTTGTTTGAAAGCCAGCCTGTAAGACCCTAGACATTATTCTTTCTGATAGCCGGGCACCCTCTAATTTCTTCACCACACATTGCTATAGCACCCATATCTTCCGTGTTTCCTTCATGAGGGCAAGTATTGAGCAGGACTATGTCTTAAGAACTAATTGTTCTTAGATTAGAGTTAGGATTACGTGCTAGCCCCAAATCCATTCTTGAATCTATGTTTTTTATCTGCCTTTGGTTCACCTTAAAGACATCCGTGTTTTTGATGAGACAGAATCGTATCAATGTCTCCCTGGAGCATAAGGACCTTCTGTTTATGGTGTCATCGATTAGCCCATGGTAATCATTGTACAACACTGTGGGGAAAAGGGAGATTGAACAAATGTAGGCTAACCAGAAATTGCAATCAATGGATTACTGGCCTGTACAGAATAAATCCTTACATGGCTGGATGCTATTTGCACAAACAATGGGAGCTGGTGGTCAGGCAAAACTTACAATAATATTCATGGCAATGTCAGGCACAGGCCTGCCAGAATAAGACATGTCTTAATACAGCAAATAGGTCATTGAAGTCGTAACTAAATGTTACTCCACCTACCGACAGTTCAATACTCCTGGTACAACTGTCTTCTGCTCCTTCGCACACCATGTAGTTTCAGTCTTAGTCCTTTGGTTACAGGTATGTTTGAGTTAGAACCTAGTTCACCTAGTGGGGTTTCCACGATGCATCCCCCTGGAATGGCCTCTGGAGCGTGTTGTGCACTTTGAAGATCCAGGGTTCAATGTCCCAGTGTTCTGTGGCACATAGCCTGGGTCCCCATGAGGGTGTACAGAAACTTGGACCAATGTGGCCTATTAGGAGCATAGTATCAGGCATACCGTGACTGTAAAACTTAATGGAGTAGAAAGCCTCATCTTTGTCCCAAGGAGCACAGGGTGGTTTCGAACTGCTGACCTTATGATGAGCAGCCCCACGTGTAACTCACTATGCAACCAGGGCTCCTTTTAAACTCACTGCTATTGACTCATTTCTGACTCATAGCAACCCTATAAGACAGAGCAGAACTGTAAATCTTAATGAGAGTAGTAAGCTTCATTTTTCTCCCACAGAGCAGCTGGTGGTTTTGAACTGCTGATCTTGTGGTTCACGGCCCAACTTGTAACTACTGTGCCACCAAGGCTCCATACAGTAAATAATCCAAAAAACCTATATGCCCATCCATAGCGGGCTGGTTAGATGATGAATAGACTAAACTATAAAACAATACTGGACAGAAGAAAAACAAAGGTTTTTTTTAATACTGGCATGGAGCGATCTTCAAGAAATATTAGGTACACATCAGGAACAAGAGAATGAAGGAAGCCAAGGTACCAGAGAAGACACTTGTCTCCAGGGCTCATAGCCTACGTAAGTGATGGCCTTGTCTACACTGAGAACAGAAGAACTAGATAGTGCCCGGCTACCACTACCAACTATTCTGACCAGGGTAACAATAGGTAGTCCCTGATAGAATGGGGACAGGTGGGGGGAGGACTACAGAAAAGAACTCAACATTTTAAAAAGTCCAGACTTACTGAACCAGTTGAGACTAGAGGATCCTCTGAGCCTACTGTCCTGAGACACTCTTTTTTCAATCTTGAATCAAAACTATCCCCTGAAGTCCCCTTTTGGCAAAAATAAAAGAGTGTCATACAAAACAATGGATATTGCCCATAAGACCGATGCCCTACTTAAAAATCACCAGTAAGAGACCAACGATCAATGTGTACTCCGAAGCAAAGATGAATCGGTAAGGAGGCAGGGAGACCAGAGCTTGGGGGATGGAAAGACCAGTTTCAATGAAAGAGAACCCTGACCCATGGAGAGCCCTGGGGGTGAGGGGTGGGGTGATGCGTTGGGCCGCTTACCCCAAGGTGAGCCGTTTGACACCACCTGGGAGACAGGACGCTTGACTCCAGTGAAGAGTCTCAGTCTTGGAAACTCACAGGGGGCAGTTCTACCCTGACCCACAGGTTCATGGACATCCACTCAGTGGGGGTGAGTCTGGTCTGATCCCTTGTGAAAATCCTGATCGACCATGTGGACCTTCACCAGAAGCACAGTGTTATATTTTTAATAAAGACATATTAGGTGCAGAGAGGGATATATACATCCCCTTTCGACTAATTTTAAAGTGGTTTCAGATTTTTTTTTAAGTGAAGGGGAATTCGCATAGACGGACGCCTTGCTACAATACAGAATGCATTAGATAGTGGATTACTGCAGGTACAGTTAGGCTAAAGTTTAACATCTTATTATTTGATCTCCCCTTTGACCTTTTTTAAATTTGTTCTGGCACTTAATATTTTCTGCTTTCTTTCCATGGAGGTTTTGCTGTTTTACTTTGCTATTGTGGTCGGTTCTCTTTGTCCTGTTTTGTCTTTGCTTGCTTTTCTGTGTATGTGCGTGGACTCGGGGTCCTGGCAGGGGAGGTTGGAAGGAAATGGAGAATTGATCACAATGAATACTAGAAAGAAAAAACTGCTCTAGAATTGATTGTCGTGGTGATTGGGCAACTCTTCTTAATATGAATTGTATGATACGTGAATTCTGTGTAAATAAAACTGTTTAAAAGATATATTTGGCGAGGAAAAAAAGATATATTTGGTGCAGAGTGGGGCATATCTATCGTCCCTTTTTCTCAAAAATAGGGAGAGTATGTGTTTGTTGTTATATATCGATGTATATATACATGTACATATACATATATCTATATTTGTACAAGTATCTCTCAGGGTTAAGTTAGTAACAGCAATCACCTCCAAGGAGTTGGGGGCAGGGGGAGGAGAGTATCTCTCCTGTCAACCACTGCACAGCTTTTCCATCTTGAGTTGTGTGATTGTGCGGCCGATTCAGAAACAAGAAATACATTTTTTAAAGTACTTCAAAAAAGGTGGAAATCGAGTGCAAAGGTTAAGAAGTATGTAGCTAAAGCTTAAGATAACACAACATCTGCCTTCCCTCTGATGCCCCTTTGTCACTGGGGGAACAAGCAGGAGGGGATTATTCGGGGGGTGTGGTGCAGAGGACCCCCGGTGGTACGAGGATAAAGCAGTCGGCAGCGACCCCCCCAAAAAAAAATCATTGGTTCGGACCCACCTGCTGCCCCATGGGAGAGCAACCAGGTGGTCCGCTTTGGTCAAGATGACAGCCTGAGACCCTGTGGGCCACTTCTTCCTTATCCTGTCAGGTCTTGGGGCGTGCAAGTTAGAAAGTGTCATGTTTAAAGTGACCAATGTGCCCCACGCCCGGGAGCTTGGTGACCACACTGGAGCCTCGGGGTGACACAGACAGTCACCATGTGCAGTACGAGGGAGTCCCTTGTATGCACCCTTTCTCCCCACGGTCTCTGAGCTCCCGCCAACTGATTGGGTGGGACTATGCAAATAAGCCCCCCCCCAGGGGGATTGGATAGCTTGCTTAAAATACAAACAAAGGGCATGGCAGCTGGTGGACCTGTGCCATTAAAGTGTATGGAACCCTACAGAGGGGACTGGTCAGTTTTGCCCCCAGGGAGGCTTACAATGGGGCTTCTCACAGGTCCAAAGCGGAAACCTCATTAAGGCCAGGAGAAGAGATGAGAGCAGAGCATGTCCTTTGGATTGGACGGTGGGGGTGGGGGGACCTGTGCTGGACCCTCCTCGGCCCAGGAGACCAGCAGGAGACAGTGTGGAGGGCTTCGAGAGGAGTTGCAGTGAATGGGCTGAGCCACAGAGCAAGAGCTGAGCATCTTTGGGCAAGGAGCTTGCTGGTTGAGTGGCATGGCTTAGGGCACTTACCAGGAGAGCTAAAGAGCTTTGTAACAATTGCCTGAGCAGGGCAGAGGCCTGCTAGCCCAAGAGACCTGAGGGTGGTCTGCTTTTGACACACCCCCTCCACTTCCCAGGGGCCAAGGGGCAGAGGACCAAAAGGACCAGGGAGAAGCCTACCTTCAGGCATGGCTAAGAAGCTGTCCTAACAGAACTGTATCCCTAGTCTTTCCTGATTCTGAATTGGAATCTGTCATCGCCTACTAAGTTCTATCATTGTGAGCATTGTCTTTGAGATCTGTGTGGCCATTGCAACAAATCATCAAACCCAGCAGAGAAACAGAGTGCCATGGGAGGGACTGCTGGTGCTGGAAATGGTAAAATATTTAGGGGAGGGGCATGGCTGACCTCTGCCTCCCAGTAACTAGTGTTGGCTTGTTGGTGCTGTTGATGGCTCTCAAATGCCAGTTTACACAGGCTCAGCTCCTCACCAAGAGCTCACACACTGGTGCCTTGGGAGAAAGGCCTGGCAATCCACTTCCCCCAAACTCAGCGATTGTGTGTTCTACTCTGCACAGTTCTATGCTGGCTCAGTAAGGATCAGCATGAGTTGGAGCCGATCTGGCAGCAACTGCTATTCCTGATATCAGAACACCAAATTCGCTGCCATCTAATTGATTCTGACTCATAGCGACCTTCTAGGACAGGGCAGAATGGCCCCTGGGAGTTTCTGAGATAGTAACTCTTTATGGAAGTAGAAGCTAGCCTCGTCTTTGTCCCAAGGAGCAGCTGGTGGTTTCGAACGGCTGATCTAGTGGTTAGCAACCCAACTCGTCACCCACTACATTACCAGGGCTCCTTCTGTTCCTGAGACAGGGTGGAACATGCAGGTTAGAAAACAAGATAGATGGCTTGACTCCATGTTGGTATTTCATGTACCCACGGGCAGAAAACTGACGATGTAAGCAGATGGCAGTAACAGTGCGTCCCGCACAGGTTACCCTTGAGAGTTCTGATTCCGGCTTGCTGTCTTTTGGTGGATCAGTTCTTACACACCTCATGTGTGATAAGGACAAGTGGCAACAAGTCAGGCAGTGGGGAAGGAGGAGTCACAGTCAGGTCCCCGCCGGCTTGAGCAGATTTAGAGAAGGCGGACTCATCCTGTGATTGGGCCGGTACCCCCTCGGCCCAGACCCTGGCCCAAATGCAGCTGATCCGATCTCCAGGGGACTTGGCAGGGGTGCCTCCCAGGCTTACCTTAAAGATGGTGTTGTCCCCATCCTGGCTGGGGCCGTGCCGTGTGGCGTGGCGCCAGGGAATGTAGAAGAATTTCCTCTCCCCGTTGACCCACTGAAGGCCTGGGTACTGGCAGCTGTTCACCTGGGCCACCAGCCAGGGCTTCAGCCGCACCCGGCGGGGCACGGGGGGCACCCCAGGGGCAGGCTGGTTCATGGCAATGGACTCTGCAGGTGGGTGGGGAAAAAAGATGGGTGACATCAGTGGATCTGGGTGCTGGAGCTCTAAGGTGCCCTGGTGGTCAAGGCCAGCTCTCTCTCCTAATCATCCGAGTCTGTGCTTTGGCTTTGCTGGGAGACCGGGGAGGGGGGTGGGGGGGCTGCTGCTGTCATGGGTGCTTCCAGGGTCCTGCCCAGGCACCCTCTCTGCCTGGGGTTAATTCCCCACTGCTCTGAGGGTTGGCTGCTGATGGGGCAGAATGAGAGCCCCCTTTTCCTGAGAACTGCCCTCAACTGGCTCAGTCTAGAGGGTGGGCCCACCTGATTGAGCGCTGGGCACGCAGGCATGTGTCCTCACAGGCACAGAGCTGCCCCCAAGGGACTGTGTGTTCCTCCCACTTTGTCCCTGAGTAAGCACAGGGGATGGCCCATGGGAAGGGAGGTGTGCTGCTTGGAGCCAAGGTGATGGGGAGGGCAGCTCCCCAGAACCTACACTCCATTCGCCCGCCCACTGCCGGGCACCCTGCCTCGTGCTGGGCCAACAGAAGACTTAGAACCAGGAGTTAGCTGCCCCCAGTTTGGTTGTGCCTAAGGTCACTAGGAGTCAGAACCGACTTGTGGGCTCCTAGCAAGTTATGACAGAGACTCAATGCCCCCAGCCCGCCAGAGAGGAAGACCCCTCTGTGGGGGCAGGAGGTGTGGGGCAGGAGGGGCGTAGCCGCCTGACAACGGTTTGGAGTCGACACTGTGACACCATCCACTGAGACAGGAGACAAGAACTCTCTCACGGCACGCCAGAGGTTCCCAGCCACAGATTGGGAAGTTGCCTGAGGCCAAAACTACATAGTTAAGTGGGAAGTAAGCCAAGAAGCCTCTCAGGCGGGGACCCCTCCCTCTGTCATTCCAGGCCCACTTCAGCCTGGGAGCATGGAGCCTCAGTTTCCCCTGCCCAGTGCTGCCCCTGGAAGGAGACTCCCCTGGGGCCTCTCCACAGTTCTGTGCCTACCTCTCAGTGGGTCAAGGTCTGGCCAACTCCTCCAGCCGGGGACTCAGACGGGGAGGAAGGAAGCTCTCACCCTGCCCCCAGGCCCCGAAGCTTGGGGGTTCAGTTCCCCTTTCAGCACCAGCCTCCACCCAGCTCTGGGGGAAATGAAAGTGGCCAGAGTGGACACTTCAGAAACCAGTGGTGACTCTGTGAGCTGCTGTGGGCGGGCCACACGGAAACCCTCGGGGGAGAGCGGGGAGCCAAGACTAATTTCAGACTTTCCTACCCCCATAGCCACTCTCCACCCGCCAGCCTGCCGTCATGATGCTGCATGTGATTGGTTACACCGGGTCCCCCAAACCCAAACCCTCTGCCACTGAGTCATTCCAACTCATAGCGACCCCGGGACAGAGTGAAATTGCTCCATGAAGTTTGAGGCTGTGGCTCTTTGTGGACGCTGACTGCCTGGTTTCTTTTCCCTTGGAGCGGCTAATGGGTTTGAACTGTCAACTCTTTACAGAAGTAGAAACTAGCCTCGTCTTTGTCCCAAGGATTAGTTGGCGGTTTCAAAGGACTGATCTAGTGGTTAGCAGTCCAATATTAACCCACTACTACACTCCTTTCACACTGGATAGCACTCCCCACCGCCCCCCAGGCCTTGGTCTTAGGATAGAGGATGAGAGTCACACGTCTCTTCTGGCCAAGCTGGGGGCGGGTGGGGGCAGCACGGAGTTCTGTGAATACAGAGCAGATGCAAACAGGCGCACAGGCTTGCAGATGGGTGCACACACACAGCCGGCAGCTGTGGGCAAGGGGAGGCCTGGGGCAGCGGGGCAGCCCAGGAAGACTGACTCTGACACTGTCCACTCCTGCCCAGGCCCAGGAAGAAGTGGGCCAGAGGCCAGCCAGCACCCATCTTCTCTGCAGAGCCAGGTTTTGAGATGAACGCTCAGGCCTCCCCATCAGAAAGGTGCAGCCTAGGCAGCCTGGGGGCGGGATGGAGAAAGGCCAGTCCTGCCAGTGCCCAGGGAGGGTCTGCCACCACGGCTCCACAGAAGGGTCTTCACCCTCAGGGGTGCAGCCTGGAACCAGGTCCACGAGACCATATTCCCAAAGAGCACCCACTTTCCCTCCAATTACAAACAACCGACCCCCCCCCATTTGCAAAGTGTTTATTTAAGTATGAAACAATCAGATATTTAAGAGACCAGGAAAGACTCAGACCCCTAGGAGTCCCCAGAAAGTCCAGTCTGAAACCCACTCCCTAGCCCGCAGCTCTGCCCTCTGACCACCTGACAACCTCAGGCAGCTCAGGAAGGGGTTTGGCAGCTGAGGTCAAATGTTGGCAACCGGGACTGGGGATTTGAGCCCTGGGGTGGGGAAATGAGTAGCACCTCTACCAACTTCCATGGAAGCACCTACTCGGTGCAGGTTGCTGGAGTAGGGAGACCCTGGCAGAGGTCCTAGGAGCCCTGTGCAAACTCCACAGTGGGGGAGGGGGAGGGGGGCACAGACCCAAACTCCCAGATGTGTCTAGCTCACAGGGCCTCCCCTCCACAAACCAAGACCAAGGAGCCGGTAAGGGGTTCTCTGTCCCAGGTGTTTCTAGATACCCCACACCCAGTCCAAGCCCTCCCGGTCATTGACCCCTCCCAGTCCTCCTAGCTGGGCACACCCAGGCCAAGCTACTCATGCCCTACAAGCTACTGCCCCACAAGCCAGGCAGGTTGAAGGCTCTCTCCGCAGAACAGGGCAGGTTGTGGGAAGGCCAGGATAAGGGGAAACCCCAAAGGGAGGGTCTTTGGGGGGTGAAAGGTGCTTTCCCCAAGCTCTGTAAGCCTCCAGCGGGGAAACCCCTCAGCCCAGGGCAGACAAGTAAGGGGTGGGGACTCGGCCTCCCTCTGCCACCTGCCCCCTCCCAAGGCCTCTCACTTCCTCCACCAACCCCGCCTGAGTCCTTTCTGGTCCGGCTGTTCATTCCACAGGGTGAACCGTGGCCGCACCCCCAGGCTCCGCC